CCCTGGGACCATCAAGGGAGAAGAGTGGAGAGCGGGACCCTACCCAGAGAAGCAGTGTCGCCAGAGATGGAGGCAGAGACGATGACGTGGAGAGATGGAGCAGCTGGGGTCTCTAGACCCAGAGAGGGAGAGGGGCTGTGTGCTGACGACCAGGGGACAGGCTTGCAGGGTATACCCTTTGGTTGGTTGATGAAGCATGGAGGGAATTTTAGCAATGGCAATGAAACGATATACAATAGGATGAATGTAAAGCTAATGTTCTCCCATGTAAAATAAACTATCACATAATTCACAATAAAACATTTTTAAAAACAGCCTCTGGGGGCCAGGCGGATGTCTCAAGTGTTTTGTTGTCACTTTTTCTGGGTGCACTGACATTCTTCTTTTTTCTCTCTTTTCCCAACCTTTCCCCCAAATGTTGCCATATCCTTTTCTCCTCCAGAAAATACACACTGCACTGACCAGGTGCCTCAGAACCTTGAACAGATACATTTTAACTGGATGTCAATTTACACAAAAGGGAGAAATCCATTTGCTCTCAGAACATTTCTCATACTGCCATGGGACCCGATTGGGAACATTGTTTCCTGGTGAAACCTCTTCCCTATGTGCTCTTACAAGAATGTCTGGTCACACAACTTACAAAGAAAGATAAGCTTTGTTGCTAACTGACTTCTACTACAAAGGGTTTGAATGTACAACCTGAGAGTCTTAGTCATAAAGCCATTGCATGCCTGTTTTTAATATGTCCATTTCAACATCGGGTTTCACATCCTTTCTTTAAAACCTGACCTCCCCACATTTGGTTTAGGTTGATATCCAATGGGTTTATAAAGCCACAGCCAAGTTGTGTGCTGTGGGAACAGTTTTAATTCCGGTTTTTTCTGAAATGTGGGTATCAGCTTGCTGGTTGTAGTTGAAGTGAGCGCAGGATTAGTGTTGGGGTAGTGTGTTATCATTTTTGTTAAGTGCTATTGAGTCGGTTCTAACGCATAGCGACCAGGTACAGGGTTTCAGAGGAGCAGCTGGTGGGTTTGAACTGCTGACCTTGTGGTTCACA